GCCTTTGTTTACCTGAGTTGAGCCTTTGTCAGGAAATCTTTACACTTCTAAAAAATAAAGAAGAAATTGTATGTAAAAAAAAAAAAAAGGCTGTTTGTTACCAGTTATTTGAGGGGTTTTTAGCTGAATTTAAACTTGTTGAGTTTCAGCCAAAAATACTCTGTGTCTGTGTGATCCTGATCCATAGTATAGGCCATGGAAGAGGGTTTATCCATATGTTTGAGAGCACAGATGAGTTGTTAACTCCAGGGAAGCAGCTCAGAATTCCCTTGTGTGGCACAGTGGAATTCACATCTCCTTGTTGCCTTTGGTTGTGCTGAGAGGGTTTACAGAGAGGATGAAGGGGGATTTTTGTTGCAGTGTTGTGGTGGCAATAAAACTACTTCAGGGTTGCCCATGCTCAGCTGGCAGCAACACCAAAGGTGTGCCCAGTGGATTCTGCTGTCCTTGGTTCCTGTGGCAGGCAGGGCTCAGCTCCTTCCATGTCTCACTGCACTCCTGAGTTCAGGAATCTCTGGTGACAAGCAAGTGTTTCTCTTTGTCACTTGCCCTCTTTGTGCTCCAGCAGAGACACTCTCTGGCTTAGCACACTCCTGCTGCCAGAGATGGAGAAGTGGCTTCTTCTGAACCAGGAGAAGTTTTATTCTTCATGCCCAAGACTAAGAATAATTGCCCAGAACAAAAAGATAACTTTCAGCCAAGAAATTTTCTCTTATTATTATATTTTTAACTTCAACTCACATGATCTGTAATGCCCTGAATTGAAAACTAGAGAGATCAGAGCAAATAATGCTCCATTACACAGCTCTTTGAATTCCTGCAATCCTACTTGGGCAGAGTTATCTGCTTTGGAGGATCAGAACTCCTCCATTTGAGCAATCTGAGGCACAGTTCACATCAGAAATTTCCATAACATCTTGCCAATGTGGTGTTTTTCAGATCCACGACCTCAGCATGTCTGATACTCAGAAAGCCAGTGGTGCTATAGAGAGCAAATTCAGTACAAAAATGCATTTACAGAAAGACTATTCAGACCATTAACATCAATTCTACTCTCTTCTTTGTCATTAAAAGTTACCTTCCTAATTAGTGTGTTCTGCCAGTTGCATGCAGGAAATGCAGATACTCTGCTGTTCTTACCCATTGCTTCCACTTTGCAATGATAAAGCAGTTCTTTGATTGGTTTCAGGGTTTATTCCATGCTTTAATGTGGAATTTCAAATAATCTAACAGATGGCATTGTCATCATTTCTCCTTCCCCACAGAATGAAAATGAACAAACACTTGACATTTCCAATATGTCTTCATCTAATGCGAGAATTTTTAGAAGCCATGGAAGAGCGATATCTGCTTTGCCTTAGGTGGCCAGAATTGTTCAATGTGTCCTAAAAATCCTGCAGGAAAAATAGGTATATAAGAACAGAATCAACATGGTTGTGTCATATTACCAGCTCTGCCCATAACAAAGCAGGAACATGCAATGGCAAAGCTGCTGCAGCTGGAGAATGAGTGTGGAATGTTCATTAGAGAAATTAGCTCGAGCTGCTACAGTGCTTAGAAATCAGCTCACATTTACAAACCTCCAGCAGATGCATCCTTTGGCAAAAGATCCTGCAGGCAGTGATTTGCCATTCATCAAGGATTGCCTCTTAAATTTGGGATCCAGGCGAGGGTGCAGATGACACAGAAGGATAAATTTAGAGATGGCTGAAAACAATTATTTTGATTAAGTCTCCAGCCAATGAGAGTAAGAGTCTTCCTATTCCTCCCCTTCCCCCTTACTCACCCCCCTCTGATGAAGGAGGAGGAGACTGTGTGAGTATAACTTATCTCCCTTTTCCATGTGGTGGATGTTTGGATGTAGGTCTTTCTGCTGCAGACTCTGCTCAATGTAGTAGGGAGTGTATTTTGTGGGATATGATGCCTGGCTTCTGTGTTAGCATCACTTAGTGTTGGAAGAGGAGCTGGAAGGGGAATGGGCAAGTTTTCTTTACCTGAAAAGGAGAGACTATGCCAGTTAAAATAAAAAAAATGGGGCTTCTTCTTGACCTCTCCTGCCACTGAGGCAAGCCCTCAGACTGGGTGAGTTGGTTCTTGTGGGAAATCTTTGTGAAGTTGTCACCAAGCTCCCCTGGCTCCTGAGCTGCTCCTTGGTCATTCCAGCCTCTCACAGCTTTGATAATATTTTCCCTTCTTAGGAGCTCTTTGTCCAAAGGCAATGCCCGTTATTCTTTTTAAAAAAAAAAATCAACAAAGGCATCATTTAACCAATTTGAGCTATTTTATTAGAAACAAAATGATGTTTGTCTGGCTGGAAAACTTGTGTCCATTAAGTTTTGGCTTGCTGTGATTGTAGATCTCTGGGTTTTGTTTTAAAAATAATAATAATAATATGGAGATAAAATGCCACTTTAAAAAAATTATTGTCTGTACAGGGGTCTTCACATTTTGGGTTTTTTGGAATAGTAGTTTCCTTTGGGGTTATTGCAGACTGGTTGGGGTCAGAAGGGACCTTAAAGCTCATCTCATTCTACCCCCTGCCACGGGCAGGGACACCTTCCTCTAGCCCAGGTTGCTCCAAGCCTTGTCCAGCCTGGCCTTGGACACTTCCAGGGATGGGGCAGCCACAGCTTCCCAGAGAAATCCATTCCAGGGCCTCACCACCCTCAATTTCTTCCTAATACTCAATCTCCTCCTGACCTCCTTCAGCCTGAGGCCATTGTGCCTCTATGTGTGTAAGTTCAATGCCACTGTAGCTGAAGGCTGAAGTGTGTGGTTACCCTTAAGTTATCTTGCAATTCCTTTTTCATCATTTCCACGTGGATTTGAAGAGGTTCCTCCTCCCCTGCTTGGTGTAGTTACTGCTCCTACTTGCACTGTTATAGCAGGGTGGGAAAAAAAAAAAGCCAGAGCTGAGAGTGGTTGGAAAACTGAGCTGAAGAGCTGCAACTTTTAACACCATAAACTATAATTGCAAAATAAAATAGCAAGTGTGTGGAAAAAGGAAATTTTATCTTATTTACTCTCTGGTAATTGTTGGCCCTTCACTACAGTCAGCTGCCTGTCTCTGATTGACAGCACAATTCCAGCCAGAAAAGCCAAAAATATCCCAGCATTTGAGTAATTTTAATCTTTTTATAGCCTAATACTGTCACAAATAAAAACCAGTGGAACAAGTAGGCAAATGAAACTCTCTTCATAGGTAAACTGGGTAAATTGGGCAGTGCTGTGGGAAGATAAACCCAGAAAGCACTGAATCTTACTTCAGCAATTTGTGCCCAGAATTAAACAGGATTAGTTCCTTTTTTTTGTTCATTAGACTTAATATTTCTGGTATTGGTTGAGTTCTACACCTAGATTCTTGTTGGGGTGAGGAGACTGGCAGAGGAAGGAGAGAGAAGGACCAACCTTGCTCAATACCTCACTCAGAAGGAACCTCAATAACTAAATTTCTTACCTGATCTTTGTCAGAAAACCTATTGAGCCCTCCCTTGCTGCTGAGCTAAGCAAATTTGGAATAATTGGAAATTTCCTGCTGGAAAATTAGTAGTAGACAGTGTTTTTAGCATTAGCTCTTGAGTTACCTCCTCTTATTTATCCCCACACCCTTGAGAGATGAAAAAAGAATCAATTCTCCAATATAGAGTAGAAAAGGACATCTTTTCTTGATGATCTCCAGGTTCCTCTTCCTCAGAGGGAGTGGGGTGAAAGCCTTGAGGAATTCTGCTGGCTCCCCAGGAATAGTAGCATTAATAATGTTATTCTGCAGCATCAGACACTTTGGTGTTTTTCCTTTATTACTAATTGCAGTTTTTATTTGGTACTTGTAGGCAGTGCTGAGCCTGTGGCAGATGTTTTGGCAGCAAAACACTGGGTGACACAGTAGATCTGCTTGGGGATTTTTATTAGTTTTTTGGGTTTTGAACTATTTTAAGCAGCTGTCTGATTTGAGGACCAACACACAAGTCAAGCTCCATTAACTTGTGAAGTGGATTAGTCATTATACACCTTTGTGGACGTTTTAATTCAGAATTAAAGTGGCTTTAATTGGATTTAGCTTACTTTGCTTTCAAAGTAAATTCAGGTAAATCAAATTAAGGCTAATTCAGTGTAAAGGAGTGGGCAGACATCCTCATTATGGGCTGCAGGAAGCAACTGAAAACATGAGACCAGGCTGGATGGAGCCTGGAGCAACCTGGTCTAGGGGAAGTTGTCCCTGCCCATGGCAGGGGGTGGAATGAGATGAGCTTTAAGGACCCTTCCAACCCAAACCATTCTATGATTTTATAATCATAAATGTTGAGGAGCAGTACTCTTCAGTGGACTGGAGAATCTTTGTGATTTTAGAGACTGGCTTCTTAATTTACCAAAGAAATGTCAGGGGCAACAAATTGAACATAGACAGGAAGAACAAGCTGTAGCTGCTGCGTCTTTGAAAGGACAAAAAACTGTAAGTCTACAATTCAAACTTGAAGTTGGTTCTTGAACAGATCTCTTAGAGGAGTGGGAATTTGCATCCTAAATAACCAAGTATCAATACTAAAGTGAAAAAAGAAGGTGAGTTCACTTAAATGGGACATCATCTATGAAATGAGGAATGGTAGGTGAAGCAGAAAATCATGAGTTTTCACACTATCAGGCTTATTTTATCCCTTATTTTTCAGGGATAAAAAACAAAAAAAGAAAAGCCAAAACACTGAATCTTAAAGAATACAGAATAAATTCAATCACACTTTTCCAGCTGTGACCACGGAACCTTCCATTCACCAAGCAGTGTGTTACTGAATGAAGAGCCAGGTGACAGCTGTCCAAGAAAAACCAAAGTGCTCAAGGAGGTGTCACTGATAGAATGACCTGGCTTTTGTGGCTCTTTGATAAATGCTCTTTGGGTATTAATTGCCTCTCCTGTGATGGCAGCAAATGTAATTAATTCTCGATGATGAAACAGTTCCAGTAATCCAAATTACTTCCATTTTAATACTTTTTTTTTTTTTTGACAGGAAGCCTCTTATTTGCCAGCTATTGACACATTGCCTGGCCCACAGAGTGTGAAGAATGAGGTGCTGCTGCTGACCATTAGGCTGACAAGCTGTGGCCAAGTGGCCACAGATCAGTGTGATGGGCAGGTGCCTGACAAGGTGCTGGGAGCAGCCAACATCTACCAGGCCCTCGTGACGTGGCTGCTCTCTCTGGTGAGTACATGCAGTGCCAGGGCACAAAAGGTTCTGAGTGATGAAGGCTGTGCTTTGACCTCCAGTGAATGTATAATCACTCTTGAAATCTCCTCTCTTTACAACAGCTACAAAACAGTGGCTGAACAACGGGGAAATTATGTTCTAATTCACCTTAGAGTCAGTAAATAGAAGTCTCTCTGAAGTCAGTGGGAGTTGCATTGTGTCTGTAGTTCATGAAGAAGTAAAAAATTGTTGGGCCAGACTCACAGTTGTTAAAAGCGGCTGCTGGAAGTGTTTGACTTTTGTCCTTGGCAAAAGAAGCTGATGGATACAGGTGCCTGCTTCTAACCACTTATTCTAGATAAGAATAGATCCTTTCTGGTAGTCGAGAGGGCTGTAAACAAGTGGGGGACTACTTCATCTTAATTGTCCTTTGGTTCGTGTGGTTTTCTCCTCTAAAAAGCCACCTCTTCCTCTCTCCTTCCTCATCCAACCCCTAGGAAAACAGGCAATGTGTATTTTCCCTCCCCACCCTGCATTCTGGCCTTGTTCTTTTCCCTGGGATACCAACACTGATCCATGCAGTCAAGGTGGATTTCACCCTGAGCAGCCAGCCTGCACCAGGCTTTTAAATCACTTAAACTCCACTTAAACAGAATTAATTGTTAATGATGTTCATGCTTCCATTAAAACATTGCTAACATTCTTTAGTGTTAGTTCAGTGCTAATGAAAATCACCACTGGAACAGCCCCAGAGCCTGGATCTTCTATTCAGAGACTGGTTAGCTCATGACCAGCTGCAGTGTGAGCTTGCTTCCCCTGTGTTATTCCCCTTAAAAAAACCAGAACTCTGAGGTGTAGTAGCTCTCTCCAAGCCTCAAAGGATAACTCAGCTTCCAGGGCTCAGTGTCACTCTGCTGAGTGTCAGGTCACATGTTGAGATGGACTTTGTGCCAAAGACAAATGGGGGTAAAATCCATCAATTTATTGCACACAGATTCTCAAACAGCTGTTGCATAGTAATGGAAAATTCTGTATTTCTTTCATTGGAAGAATTGAAAATGTTGGGGCTTTTTTAGACCAAATTCTCATCTGGTAATCTATGTAATTCCACTGATTCCCTGGCTTGTGTAAATCAGCATATCTTTATTGATTTCATTGGAGATGTGCTGGTTGGTGCCAGTTGAGAGCATCCTCCAGGTGAAAACATTCCCCAGTGGCAGAGCTGCTGCAGAATTTCCCATGTGAAACCAGTGCTCAGAGCACTCAAGGGCTGGGTACTGGTGTTCTGAGTGATCCAGCTGACCTGGAAAATCCACCCAGGTACTGTGTTGAGAACATATTTCTAAAGGCCTTTATCTCACTGTAAATAGTTTGGGCTTATATGTGCAGTAAATAGCAGAGCTGATAATCCATCTACAGACTGTGGTGGTGGTATAAAGTGTGAGAACAACACTTATCCACCAGAACCCTGGGAAGGAATTCCAGTCCTGTAGCTCAAACTTGCCTGTCTCTTCATCCAGAGTGTGTTCTGGTTCAGGCATCTCTGCCTCACAGGGCTACTCTTCTCTTCTCCTGGCTTTGCTGATTCCCTGTGCCTGGCTTTCCCATGGCTTTCTGCCCTCTTTCACCTGTTTTGCAGGTGCTCCAGTGCCTCCATACTCTGTTTCAGGTGTCACTCCTGTCTTTTTTCTAACCTGTAATAAAATTTTTCGTGTATTCTGCATATTGAAGTGTATCATGTTTCTTCTGACTTTGAGCAGCATGAAGAGCCAAGGAGTGGTCTCTCCTACTGGAACCCTGTCTCTGTGGTATTTACAATAATCAGTTATCTCCAGGGTTCATCTTGGGATTGGCAGAAGTCACTTCTTAGCCTGTTTTGTTTAAATCAGATGTGTGTAGTGGAAAATAAGATGTTTGCCTCCCACACACGTGTGCACAAAAAAATCCATCAAAAACAACTCACCTCAGTCAAACTGAAAGGGGATTCAGTGGATGGGGATTGATGGGGTTTGGGCTATTAGTGAACACCAATGGGGAAAAGAAAGGCTTATTAGGGAAGCCTCCATTAGCTACTTGGAATTATAGCATCATGTTGCATTGATTTTTGAACTGGGACTGATCTCCTTATCGTTGATGAAGGCACTCATGGTGCTGCTCTGACAGGAATGTTCCGAGCAGCATTGATAGGGACTCTCTTCTCACTCCTTGCTGGACTGGGGAAATAATGTGCATTTTTGCTGTCACATAGTGAAAAACGCATATGTTATTTAATTTGGTCTTTATTGATTTTTCTACTGGCTAAACCACAGCTAATCTACTAATCAAGCTAGAGTGCTCCCTGGATTGTTGTATGTTGGGGGGCTCTACTCAAAAGCAACAGAAAAAGATAAAGGGTTTTTTTTTCAGTCCATCTAAAAGTCAAATTCTGTTCCAATGGATTTACAGGTGCCTCCTTTGAAAAGGAACAATGGCCCCAGAGCTCCGTTTGAGGTGGTGGGGCTGCAGCAGGCCTGGAGGGAGGAAGGCTTGGCCCTCTGTGCTGGTCTGATCCCAGCAGATGAGTCTTCAGCCCAGAGCTGCCCCAGGACCCACGAGGCACAAGTGAGTAGCAGCATTTCCACCTGCTGGTTGTGCACAGCAGCCATAGCAGGTACCAGTGTTCTTGACTAAGCACCAGCCCTGCATGTGCCAGTTTGAGCTCAAATTTCAGCAAGGCAGGAGAGAGCAGCATAAGTGCTGCTCTAAATTGGAGTGGGGGACCAGCCCAGTACTGTGGGAACTGAAACATTGCTTACAGCTAATTGCCAACCCAAGCTGTCCTCAGTGCTGCTGAATTTAGTTTTCGTGCAGACAAGAAACCAGCTCTCTATGGCACAATTTTTTTCTCTATTGCTCATTAGCTGTAATCTCACACTGCAGAAATTTAACTGGCTTCAGAGGAGACACATCTTTGGGACATATAATGGTTTTTCCTCTTGTACTTTAACCATCTGAAGAGTGTGGCATAGGAGAGGGAATACTGTCTTGCTGTTTGGCTCCCAGGAATTAGGGCCTGGAAGCACGACCTGAGACTCTGTTCCCTCAAGTCTGGAAGACAACAGGGCCTGTACTGTGCAATAAAACACCAAGCTGGAAGGTCTTGCACACAAGCACATGCAGGTGGCACATGGAATATAGGGCATGATATGAATCTGTGTCCTGAGCACAGGAGAGCTACATAACAGCAGCTGTGGGCTGTGGTTTGTTGGTTCTGTCTTTTCATGGAGCTGATACAATACAGGTTAGAATTCTGAGCATCTTGGTCCTATTTCTTTTTTGGAGACAGTTTTTTAGGTGTTGTTGCTACTCTTGCCTGGTATAAATACCTATCCTACCTATGGAGTGTAGCTGACTCTTACTGGAAAGTGTACCCAGGTATATCTGGGGAGCAACAATCTGTGTGTACCCCAGATCTCCTGAGAACCACTTGCTTGAACAACTGTCCTATCATTGAGTATCCTTTGAGGTGCTGCCCTGTGCTCTGCTGAGGCTGCTGAGTTCCTCTCAAGGGGCTCAAAGCAATACTTGTGGCTTTAGTGAGCCAACAGTGGAATTTCTGCTCTATTTTTGCCTGTTACACCCCAGTCACGTTAACAGATATACCCCCAGGTATCTGGATTATACCTGCTGGACACACTGTGTGAAGTTTAAATGGAATAGAAGATGTAAACAAGTTTTAAAAGCTCAATTAACTTCCCATACTCAGCTGCAGCAAGAGTTCTTCCCTTGCCTGTGAGCAGCAAAGGTTGAATTTCCCATGATGTATCATAAAGCCTGGAGTTTGACAGCTGTGGCTCCAGTACTTCTGCAAGTAAATGATTGATGCTGGCACCAAAATGTCATGAATAAAACAACTGCCAAAAAAACCCCAAAACAATAAGCATTAGTGTTTGGACAGAAGTGCCCACGGGCAGAGGCTGATGAGAGCAGGCAGTCTGCTGGACTGGACAAAGGTTTAATGCTGATTTCAGTCTCAGGCAACTGAATTCAAGATGTTTCCTCTATGGAGCAAAGCAAATGGAGGAACAGAGACTGACCTGCCTCCTGCCTGCTTGCCTGGTTGCTCCCTGCTGGTTTCAGGTGAGGGGTTGGGCAAAGCAGCAAAATTATTGAGCACTGTGTACGTTCAAAATAGGAGCAGTGATACACAATTGAATGAACTTTTGGACTCAGGCTGCTCTGAGCATTTGGTTGGAGCTGGGGAGGGTTGAATCACAAGTTAGTGGAACAAGCTGTACAGTTCCTCCAGTCCATGTCATACAATCGTGGTATGTTTAGGTTGGAAGGGGTCTTTTCGAGGCCATCTCATTCCACCCCCTGCCATGGGCAGGGACACCTTCCACTAGCCCAGGTTGCTCCAGGCCCTGTCCAACCTGGCCTTGGACACTTCCCATGATGGGGCAGCCACAGCTTCTCTGGGCAACCTGTGCCAGGGCCTCACCACCCTCATCATAAAAAACTCCCAGAATCACAGAATGTGTGAGTTGGAAGGGACCCACAAGGATCATTGAGTCCAACCCTTATCCCTGCACAGAACCAAATGTTCCTTGAGCTCTGTCAGCCCTGGTCAACCATCAACCCAACCTCCCTTTGGGGGAAGAACCCCTTTCTAATATCCAGCCTAAACCTCCCCTGACACAACTTCAGGCCATTCCCTTGGGTCCTGTCAGTGGTCACCTCAGCTGTGCCCTGCAGGTATTGGGACAGTTCCCCCAAGCAGGGCTGTGGGTGTAACTCAGTTTCCTCTTGTTAGAGGCTCTACCTTTGTGGTTCCACTGACTTTTGTTAATTTTGCTTTCCTGAGGCATTTGTAAAGCTGCTACTTTCCCCAACAGAGATCTAAGCTGGTAGGAACAACACAAGTCCAAATGTCAGCCACAGCAGAGACAAGAAAAATAACAGCAAGTGGTCCTGTCTTTCTGTTCCTTCCCTTGGGCAGCTTCAGCTACAGTTGGAGAGAAATGGGGTGGATTTTGTTCCTTACACTTAAGTCCTCAGTCTCTCACTGTACTGTTAATGTGGAGGGATTTAATGGTTGAATAACAAAATTCTGTTGGGGCACTTACTGGCTCTTGTTCCAGTTGTCTCCTATGGGCACAAAGAGAACCACTCATGAGGGCTTACCTTCAGACTATGACTGGCTTTCCAGGTGCTTTTGTTGCATCTGTTTGCTATAGGAATGTAGGCAAATGAGACATACCTAGTATATGTAAATGTCTAATATTATGACAAATTGATATTTTAATGTTTCTAACATGGAGAGGCCAGAGTCCATTTTCAACCCCCAAAAGGGGACTCTGAGCCATCAACTTCTCATTTACTGTTATCTGTGTATCTTCTATTATTTATCACATTTTATTTCCCCATCCACAGTTATAAAAGGAAGTGTAATAGTGGTCTCTCCAGGCAAAAGCTCCTGTTCTCAGCAGATCAATAAGCCTTTTGGCTTATTCAACTAGGATGACATCTATTCCTATATCCAGTAGTTCTGTTTCCTCCCATTTTTGTTGGTTTTTTGGGTTTTAGTTTGGGGTATTTTTATTCTGTCCTTCCCCAAACAGCTAATAAAAATGAGGCAGATTTGAACATCCCTGCATGGTTTTGGTTTCTTATTATCAGAACAAATGCTTAAATACAGACCTCTTGTAATCCCTGCTTGCTGATAGACAAGCTGCAGTTCCAAGCATGTCTGATGGGAATTAGATTTGTAAAGCCTCTGCTTTCTAAGAATCTTCCAGGCATTCCCAATTAGGCACGCTGGCACTGTGCAGAGCTCTGTGGCTCCTGTCTGTCACCTCATCTTTTGGTGGCTCAGAACAGCTCACAGTCATTAGATTTGGGGCTTTTCTGCAGACCTTTCTTCCTTGGGCTCCACTTTCTGTGTGCAGTAATCATAGACTCATAAAATATTCTGAGCTGGAAGGGACCCACAAGGACCATGAGTCCAACTCCTGGCCCTGCACAGGACCATCCCCAAGAGTCACACCCTGTGCCTGAGAATGTAGTCCAAGTGCTCCTTGAGCTCTGGCAGCCTTGGGGCTGTGCCCACTGCCCTGGGGAGCCTGTTCAGTGCCCCACCACCCTCTGGGGGAAGAACCTTTTCCTAATGTCCAGCCTAACCCTCCCCTGACACAACTCCAGAGTCCTGTCGCAGGGAGCAGAGATTGGAGCTGTCCCTCCACTGCCCCTCTTGAGGAAGCTGCAGACCCTGATGGGGTCTCCTCCAGCTGAGCAGGCCAAGTGCCCTCAGCCACTCCTCAGACCCTTCCCTATCCTTGTGTCCCTCCTTTGGACACTCTCCCATAGCTTTAGATCCTTCTGATATTGTGGCCCCCAGCACTCGAGGTGAGGTTGCCCCAGCTCAGAGAAGGATGGAACCATCACTTCCTTTCAATAGCTGGTGGAAAGAAGATGCTTTGCATAATTGTTGTCTGTTTATTTCTAATTAGGTCTCATTGAGGTCATCAGTTTTGTTCTCTGAAAGTTCTGCTAATTAAGAACCAACCTGAAGAACAATGAGGCTTAGAGGGGAGGTTAAATGATGGAAAACTGTAATTTAGCAGTGGGGTATTCAATGCCAGTGTATTAATATTAGTCTCAGTCTTAAAAAAAATCATAGAATGGTTTGGATTGGAAGAGACCTTAAAGCTCATCTTGTTTCACCCCCTGCCATCATCAGGGACACCTTCCACTTGACCAGGTTGCTCCAAACCCTATCCAACCTGGCCTTGGGCCAGGTATGGGATGTTAATATATTCATTCATATCCCTATGAAACCCTTTGAAAATAAATGTTTCATTGTACTGGGCTGTTTTATGGTCCTGTTTATGGCATTTTCTCCCTCTGTAAGTGTGGTGTAATCTGCCTTGGAGTAGTATTTGTGAGCTGATGGATGTCATGAGCAGGGTGTGATGGTTTGGGAGGCTGTGGGGTGTTATGTTAGGGATTTGGTTTGCAGAATCTGAAGTGTAGCTGTGTGGAACTGGAGTCTGGGATGGCTGCAGACAAAGAAGGAGCTGTTCCAGGTGCAAGGTACAGAGAGAGAGCTCCTAAGGCAACCACCAACTGATTTTTAACCATTGACTCTTTGCAGAACACAGAAGATCTACGAGGACCATCTGTGTTTTACCAGAAGATTTCTGCATTTCTTGCCTCTACATGGCTTCCAGATGTTATTTGGTGGAGGGCAGAACTGGCCAGTTGCTTCCAAAACCAGCCGTGTCCACTTCTTCATGATATTCCCTCTGTCCTGCTCAGTAACGTTGTTGCTGTTAACCCCGACCCTCAGGTACTGAACAGAAAAGCTTGGAATTCTGGTAATTGCTTTCTCAGGTCCAGAAAAACTTGTTGTTTCAGTGTCAACAGATATTTTTGTTTACTTTAGCAAAGTATTTAAGCAGACTTTGAAAACAAATGCTTCTAATATCAGAATATTTTATGATTCTGTGATTTTAGTATCTGTAGATTTGCAGGGAAGTGTGTGAGTTTACAAGGATGGAGCACACCTCAAAATCAAGTGCTTCCAATCTCTTACCTGCCTGGAGTTGTCTGCAAGAATACTCTCTGCTGTATATAAGTAGAATAATAATTAACTTTTCACCTCTTTCAGCTTAGCAAGTGCTCTGTAAGAAATATTCAAGTGTATGAAATGTTACAAGGATTCATTATACTTAGAGGGGGATTTTATTCCTTAAGGGCATCCAAGCTTGCTTTTAGGCCTTTACAAACTTTCCTACCTTAGTGTAAATATTTAGAGTGGGTTTTCAAAGCCAATTTAATATGGCCTGATTTCTGTATCTTTTGAGGGAATGTTCTACTTGTTTCTTCCCCATGACTTCACCACAGTCCTGGTCTTTTCCCAACATTTCTAAATCGACAAAACTCTTGAGACACAATTCCAGGGAATGGCAAAACCTGCAATTCTAGTTACACAGTGAAGTTTTTAGTTTTGAAAATAACGTGGCAGGAGAACCTTTCTGCAATTTCAACCAGATTTGAGGATTACTGTGACTCTGTGAGAATCAATGTAAAGCTTAGGGGCTTAACAGTGCACTTAGCAATTTGCCTAAAGGTTTATCCCACTTTCTGTGGAGGAAAAGGAGGCTTAGTGTTGTTGATTTGCAGTCACTGTGGCTTTCAAGCAGAAGCAAGTGCCATAAAGCAGCCTGACAGACTCGTAAAAGATAAATCTACAGTAGCTTTTAAGGCATAAACCAGGGCATCATTTAAAACAGTCAGGGCTTTTATGCAAATCCCTTATTAGGGGAATTATAAGTCATTAGGAGTTGAACAGCAAGATAGCAGACACTTTCTGGGGGTGGATCTTTGCCTTGATGCCACAGAAAACCTGAAGCCAATTTAAAAGCCACATTCACTTCTCAAGCTCAAGTCCTCTGTGCCACCCAGGTTCCCAGGCCTGAGTTAGGCTGAGACCACTGCATGTTCTGGCTTTTTCATGGAATCACAGGATGGGCTGGCTTGGAAGGAACCTTACAGCTCATCTTGTTCCACCCCTTGCCATGGGCAGGGACACCTTCCACTAGCCCACCTTGCTCCATGCCCTGTCCAACCTGGGCTTAAACACTTCCAAGGGCAGCCACGTTTTTTATAGCTGTTGAAGCAGAAAAGTTGATTTTCAAAGCAGGGCTCAATGAGCCACACTCACAGCAGGCAGCAGCTACCACTGATGTGTGCCCTGAAGCTTTACAAAGTGGTACCAACTGAGAATGTTCCCAAGTGTCATTAAAATACAACCAAAAAGTGCTGCATAGAAAATTCAATATCATATTCTTTTAACTTCATTGGTTTGAAGGTTTGGTGCAAAGCCAGTGATCCATGCTTTGCTTTTTATATATTTATGTTTGTTTTGAGGCAGTGTATGCAAAATAAGCAGACCAAAGAACCTGCTCCCATGTGGAGAAGCATTCAGTAAGTACCTCCTTTTGCTCCAGGTAGATTAAAGACAGAAATCGTGCCAGGCTGATGGAACAATGCAGTCATTAAACCCCAGGTTAGGTTAGGAGTGACAACATCCCTGTGGAAGTTATTAATGCAAGGTCCCTTGTCAGCAAAAAGAGGATTCCTTCATATTAGCATAAAATAAAAGTACTTTCTGCTGTTAAGCCTTAGGATGCATCAACCTTAGGGATACAGGCAATATATGTAGTGTTGAAGCTGCTTTTCCTCTGCCTGTTTGTTCCATACTGAAATTCTCTTCCTCTCCCTCAGCTGTTCCCTACACTGGGATATTTGCTCACCATCTTTTGGTCTCCTTCCAGAGCATCTCCTTGAACTCCCAACCTGTGTGGGTGCCTGCCAGGACAGAGCAGTGAGGGCATGGCAGTGCTGTATGGGTCAGTGAGGTTTTTAGGGATGGAGGTTCCCCCTTTTTCCTCAAGTGATGAGATTTTTTACTTTTAGTTCCAGAAAATCCATTTTCTTGCACCTCCAGGTGATCAGTTCCCTACATGCTGCTCCTTTAGTAGATTCCCTTCTTTGACATGAGGGTTGTGTGTTCTCTTTTAAGACAATAGTAATGATTAAGGGCAGGTCTACAGAAAGTTCCCTCCTTGCTTTTCACTTAAGCAAAGCTCCCCTTTTTTAATTTTTTTTTTCTGGCTAAGCATAGCTAAGAATTCCAGGACTGGGTCCAGGGAGCTGATACTGTCACTCAGTCCTGCCAAAACCATCAGCCAGCACAGACTGACCAAACAGGAAGGCTGATGGATGGGAGGAGGCTGGCAGAAAGTAGAGCAGTTCTTTCCTGTGGTATTTCAGACTTTTGGGTTTCCCCTGCTGGAGTTGACATTAACTGTGTTAGCAGAGGAGCCTCACAAACACAAGCTTTGAAAGTTGCAAGTTTTATTTCAAATACTGAAAGAACCATGTAGTCAAGAAGAGCTGTACACTGCTGATGAAATCCAAATCCCCGTGGATGCCATGGAAAAGCAGAGCCTGGATGCAACACTTGTTGCACTTAAAGGACCTGATTTAGAGATGTGGTTGCCTGAGCTCTGTGTGCAGCCTCTGAAGAGGGAGTGGGAAGCAATTCCAGAAGATCCTTCAGGTCTGTGAATCTGTTTTTCAGCGTGAGCTTTAGAGTTTGAGTGCTGTGACATTATTTCATTGGCAGGCAGCACAGCCTTGGTGCCTTCAGCATCTTCCACTGTCTTTTACTATAACTTCATTTGACTTCCATGCTAAGGGAGTCACGCTCAGGGAACTGTTACTTACTACTACCTCAGCTTTTCACCCAACTCTCTTCAGGCTGTGGCTGTGGGGACATTGCCTTTCACACATCCCAAACTCTAATAACTGGGATATGCTCTGGTTCAGTGTCTGGGGGGGGCAATTATGCTGGTTTAATTTGGGGTTATTGCCCCATGTGTTCTCTGTTTGTCCTTTCCTGCTGTGAGAAGCAGCTCTGAACAGCACCTAAGCTGGGCCAAGCCACGTTTTGTTTTCCAGCCCGAGCTTCCTGGAGTGTAGCACAGTTTGCCCAGCTCTGAGACCTGATCCACAGATTGCTGTGAGCTCTGTTTTACTGTTGGATCAGGGCTGTGCTCTCCTCCTCCAAGGCTTGAAAGAGCTGATTGCTGTGCAGCTGAACTGGGCATTAGGGAGGGATAAAACATCCAGAACAGCTCTTCCACATCTGCTTCCCAACCCAGACCAGCAGGATGAGGCCTGCAGCATGACAGGAGTCCAGCAGCTTGGCTGTTTGAAATCCAGGCTAAAGGTGGAAAGCACGAGTTTCAAAAGGACAGGTTTATCCTGCCCTTTGCTTTCCAAATCTTGCTCATGTCTTGACTTTATCTGAGTTGGTGCAAAGGGTCTGATCTTGTATGTCTGGCACCCTGAGTTTGCTGTGCAGCCTGATAAAGTATCAACAGCTTTGGTAAGAGCACATCATGTGACTGATGATTCCACGTGGATATGACTTGTCTGTGGGTGAAACATTTGTCCTGGGACCTCACCTCTGTGCATTTTTAGAAAATCATCTATAGCTGCAGCACACAATAGCTGCATGGCTGTGCCCTCAGGAGGCAGAAGGGAGAAGGTGACATCCTGGCCCCAGCTGAGTCCTGCTGGAGTCTGTCATTGATTTTCCTGGAGCCAGGAGTTCAGGCAGTCATTGGTATTTGTAAGTAAAAAACCCCTAACCTTTAGAAGCAGGAAGGACTACAGTGATGTCTACCAGAGCTGGCACAAAGATGAAGGCATAGCTTGGGGAGGAATAAACCGTTACAGTTTTTCATTCTTCCTAAAATTTGATAGCTCACATTTAAATAGGGCCCATTGCTCATTATTCCAGAAAGGAGCAGCTTTAAAGAGCTCTTGAGCTAAATGTGCTTTGCCATTAGTGCTGTGCATGATGGGCACAAAGGCTGGGAGTTACTGTCTCACTCTCTCTTCTGTGTTAAAAGATATCCCTTTCCCTGTCCAGAAGGGGAACAATGGGAGGTGAGATCCACTGCAAACTGCCTGAAATACAGTCATGTCTTCCTTGATTAGCCACCTTTATTCCAGCCTTTTTTCTGCCTGGGATCTTCCTATGGTGCCTCCACATTTCCTATAGAATCTTTTCTTTCCTATAGCATCCTTTCACTTATTAGTCAAATAAAAAAAATTATTAATATTAATTAAATATATCCTCTTTCATGAGTTCATTCAAATGAGAACCTAAAAGGCAAGAATTGTCTCCTGCAAATTGCAAGCTGAAAAAAGCTTCCAGAAATAGGAAAAAACATGGGAATTTCCCATACATTATTCAGATGAATGACTGGTTCAGAATATGGAGAAGAATTATGTCAAGGAGATCCTGTGCTAAATTCTGTAAATACTGAATTCCTTAGCCATCTGAAGAGAGTGTGCACAGTGGGAGGGAAGATGTGCAGGGAACATTGTGTTAATCTGGATCCCCCTAGGAATATTATGTTAATTTATTGGGATTCATGGCAGTGGGGAGAGGAGAGACTTTGAGAGCCACGCTGCCTAAATCAGGGGCATGATTTGGTGAATCACATCAGACACGAGCTGTGCTGCAGTGAGAGAAGCTGCCTTTGTCGCCCCGATGTGCTCAGTGGGGCTGGAAGGGAGAAGTTCTGGGATTTCCAGTGGCTCTGGAGGTGCTGGGAGATGCAGTATCTTCCTCAGAGGGGTTTGCTGCTGCCTCGCAGCGATAACAACTGAGCACATCCTTGCCTTGGGAAGGACCTTGCGTGTGAGGAGAGGAGATTGTGGAGTACATGGGGATTCTTTCTGCAGTTTCTCTTTTCCTGCTGTGGCTGGGAAGCAACCTGGAAGACTCATTGCGACTTTAAAGAACCTCTTAGATCATCTGACAGCAAAAGCTATTTCTTTGTTGTCAGAGATGGGAACAGAAACACTGGAAGCACAAAGAAGAGATCATGGGTTTGGTTATATTTCTGGATGACAGTTAAATATTTATGGGTTTGCTGCACGCAGCTCCAGCCTTCTCTGAAATGTGCTTATTCTTGTTTCTGCTCAGGATTTTACAACACATTTTTGTTCTGCTGCGAATTTCCTTCCCATAACTATCTGGCTTCATCTGGGTAATATTGCCTGAAACAAAGCAGTAGCTCAGGGTTTCTTCTAAATGCTTTTTGAAAAACTGGTTAGTGTTCAATGTTAGTTATGGTCCAAACTGGTCTTTTTCAGTGTTGTAAGGTAGCAGATATTGGAATTTGGCACTCAAATCAAAAAAGAACAAAGATTATTGACAAAAAGGAATAATACAAATGGGATATTATGGATGTGCCTTCCCTTCCTGCTCTTCCTGATTGTGGCAGTTTGGATGGAGAGGATTTCAGTGCTGTAAGAAGCCCTGCAGACACAGCATGGCAATGGTCATGGTTCTGTGAGTCTGGGGTTTGAAACCTGTCATAGCATAGGTCAGAGTATCCCTGGGGCTGTGCAGCTGCCATTGGCTGATGTAGGGAACTTTCCTCCCTGGGATAATGCCTTTCCCATGAGATGTGAGGTTGTTACAGTGCTGAGTCTGCAGAGCCTCACTGGAGAGGGATTTTCAGGTAGTTATCCTCTTCTTTTCTTGTGGGGGAATCTCCTCTCCTCCCACCAGGAGACAGGTCCACTCAGAGGTGATGGATCCGCTGGCCTGGGAGAGGCTTCCTCAGATGCTGTGTTGGCACAGAAGTTTTACAACTGGTGTGATGTTGTTGGAGGTGAGAGGAATGAGCCCTGAGGTGAAACCAATACAATTCTCACACCTACACTCTTGTGGAACATTAAAAGTAGCACTAAAGTATCATAGGTAGTGTGGAATTTGCCAGTTATTTCAGTGACTGTAAGGTCCTGCAACTGCCTGTGGAAGGTTGCTCTGTGTTATGTGTTAAACAGGGCTCATCTCAGTATTATAATGACTGACTTCATGTAATTCTCTCCTACATGCACAGGGAAAGTGACTTTCTCCCTGATTTTCCTGCTCATGGATAGAAAGGCTATGCCAGGAGTTTGCCACTGGTGCATTTTAGCCAGATTGGACAAAGCAGGGCCCTCATACCACAGCCATCTGTCTGTTCCTAACTCATGAGGAGAAGGACTTTCTAGGAGAACTAAGACTTTTCAAACTTCATTTTCTGCTGCTTTGTGAACTCACATTCGGGTTGGTTGTTAGAAAACAGAATCTGACTGATCTCAGGAACAATTTCCCACAGGTGTGAATTCCCAGGTGTGGCCAGATCCCTGCTCTGGCAGGGAGGAGGGCTGGCCTGGAATCACCCTCATCCACAGCTTACACCGTGGTCCTTCCTGAAGGGCAGATTTTACCTTGGATTTCCCCACGTGTCCTGACTGGGGCTGGATGATTACCTGGAAGGTTTCTATGGAAATAGGGGCTGGTGTTGGTTTGACTACATTTGTCTCTTCTCTTCCTTCTTCTTGAAAGTTCAGAGATGTGAGGTTTGTTCAAGGAATAACTTGAATAAATAGAAGACTGGGGTCTTGCTGCATTCCTCTTTGGTGCATTGGGAATACTGTACCAGTGCTGCACGTGGGAGCTGACATCTTACACTGGAAACAGAGGTGATCTTCTGTCTCCTTGAATGCCCTTTCCCTCTGATGATCTTTTCCACAGCAACCAAGTGTAATTGCACCAGTGGAAGCAGGAGAGCAATGAATTGCAGGACAGAATGGACAAAGCCACTGAGAGATGCCAAAGCTCTGAGTTTGGGGTAGTTGATTTGATTGAAAAGCATGAAAAGTGAAATCCCCGGTTCCGCTTTTAGGCAAATATCTCATGAGGTGCAGGAAATAGAGGAAAGAGACAACATAAAAGGTTACTGAAGTGGAAAGGCAGTTGTCAGAGGGGTTTTAATATTCCGATTAATTTGATTTTCTGGTTGTTATTTTTATAACATTTGTAGAATGCTGTGAAGTGCCTGTCGTAGGCCAAGCAGCACACACAGGATCTCTCAGGTGATTACACAATTAATCAGCATTATATGTACCTCAGAATGCACAATGGATGCTTCTCCATGCACTGATAGCCCATTTTCTCTCCATAATAAAAGTCCTGATGAGACCATGTTGAAAACTAATTTCTTTTTCTGCTTTTTGGAAAGGTCAGTCCACATGAGATGAGGACAAATTAATGACTGCTGTAAATCAGAGTAGAGTCTTTAAAAGTGAAACCTCACCTGAGCCTGTGTCTCAAAAGTGACAATTTTTTTTCATTCTTGGAATGAATCCTGCCCGCTGTGAACTCTGCCTAAATGCATCTGTGTTTCTGGAATCTTCAATATCAATTCTTCCCAAGCCAGAACTTGACAAACATGACTTTCAAAAGTTCTTTGTCCCTGGACTGTGGCCTTGCTTACTGAGCATCCAGTCACAGCACATTCTCATGAGTGACACATCCTTACACTTGCACTTGTACAACTTGCTTGCTTGGCTGCCCAGAAAATGTATGAGAAACAAAATAAGGTGCTGAGCTGGGAAATGCTGCACTGTGACCTAAATGGCAGCTTTTTGCCTCTCCCTGAGTATGTGACACAGTAAGTCTCACAGATATGTGTCACTTGTGGTGACATGAGCGCAGGAGAAATGTCCTATTTTGGTTACAGGCATGTAAAAGTTCATGAAATTTCTTCCCTACCCTTCCATTTGATTAGTTAATTAGAGCATTGCTTTCACAAAGCCCTTTTCTGCTGAGTGCTCAGCACAGTCGAGAATTGAGGGCTCTGCTCAGATCCGTCTGCTATGGATGGAACTCCTGGTGATACCTGTGGGTGTTCTGTGTGCTGGGGAGTCTCTGGATTGGACACTGGGAATGCTCAGGCTCCCAGGAAGTGGTTGCAGATTCATATTCTTGGGATATCACTTAATTGGAGCAAGAGGAATGGTTGTAAGAAAGCAAATGACATGTTAACAACATTGGACTAATGAGTTTAACCCACCCATGTGCATCCTTGGGTGGTCTCTAGCCATAAAATACTCTGTTTTTCCAAGCCCTTTATTTTGAGAGACCAAGATAACATGCAAGTGAGAAGTGTCCTTTGTGTGTTTCAGGCAGCAGAGAAGGTGTTTGTGGTGCCAAATGGATTTTACTGGCAGACAGTTGAAAGTGGTGACAAATACTTCCCTGACAGCAGTGCCATGGAGGCCTGCAGAGATACAGACACTGAGGTAAAGAACAGCAAGCACACCACTCCTTCCTGGCTTGTGGGATGATGTGGAACACTGAGAGACAATTAGGTGACCTGGAATATTTCAGTCTTGAGGTTTGGTATAAATACTGATCTTGAAGTATTTTTCACTCAGACCTAAATGTACCAGCCAAGTGTTTCATGTCATCAGTATTGATGTGCTGATTGCTCTGAGCCACAGGAGATTTAACTTTGAAATCTGTGGGTTGAAGAAATTGCTACCAACCAGGTGCAAATCAGTAACAGTAGACAAAATTTT